CGGCGGAGGAGAAATCCGGCGCGGCTACGGCTTCGGGCAAAGGCGACGCTTGTGAGCGCCGTCTCCTCCCTAGGGGCGTTGTCATGGCCATGTCCATTCCCTGTTCTGAAACCAGGGGAAACCCTAGGCTCGGTTCGCCGGGCCAGGCAGCGGCAACGTCTCGGCGCCATCCCTGTCTTGGAGGCGCTGCCTAGGTTTTCAGGGTGCGTCCGAAGGAGCATCTGGTGGACTACCTCGCTTGCCTCGGCGGCGAGTCTTGGGGTGCCAAGTTGTCATGTGTGGGTTGTCGCTGTGGGCAGGAGCATCCGGGGCGCTATGTACTCCATCATCGAGACCTCTTCGACGACGTCTTCTTCGAGCCAGGCTAGCTCCCACTGTCCGCTTGTCGATCCTCTAGGAACCAAGGATGGAGAGTGTGTTGATATAGTTTGGTTAGGTGTTTTTGTCGCGTTTTGAGGTGTTTGATACAGGGGAATGCGGCCTGTGTGTTCTGTGCCCGTCCTCTTCTCCATTGTTTGGCTTAAGTATGGCCAAGGCGGGTTAGTTGTCGGTGTTGTCATGGTGGATGTGGGTGCTAACCTCGAGGGGTAGCATGTTGCCAAAAGGCATTGTATCGGTCGCCTCGGCTCTTCTTCTTTAATATATAGTACGCACACTCATGCGTCTTCAAGAAAAAAGGCTTGCGATTGACTCCGGCCGCCGGTGGTAGCGAGGCGGGCTACCACGCGCCACCACCGTGCATGTGCGTGGTGGCCCTGGACGGCTGGCAGCGGGTGGACGCCGGGGCGGCGGCCCCGGGACCTGGCGAGATGGGCCGGCTTCTGTGGCTGTAAGGGCAGCACGTTAGTCGGTTCTGGCAGCACTCCGCGACGGTATGGTCATGGCTCGGATCTGGCGCGGTGGCCATGGACTGCGTGGCTCGATAGAGGTATGGGGTTGCGTGTGCGGCGTGGGAGCTGGCAGCACAGCTTGCTGGTGTGGATGGCCGCGCGTGGCCGCTGGGTCGTCCTGGTCTGGCCCGGCCAGATCTGGCCGCCTGGGCTGCGAGTGGCGTCGGGGCTCCTGTCACTATTGCTCCGGTGCTGGTACGCTGGGGCGGCGGCCCCAGGCTGCGGTGGACTCACCCTCTTATTCCCGGGGCGGAGGCGCGATGAGGAGGCTGGTCGGGCCCCACGATTGTGTGATGTGGTATCCCGGCGGTGGCATTGCACTCCCTGCCCGTGCGGGCGGGGGGGTTGTGGCGGGTGGATGCAGGCCCTGGTCTCCCTCGACCAAGGGTTGTGGTGGGCATGTCGGTTGGCGGCATGGTGGCATTCGGCTGCCCCCTCTTCACGGTGATGGCCCAAGGTCGCAGCTTTGCCCCCCTTCTAGTTTGCAGCGCTTCGGAAATTGATGGACACGGCCAAGGAGAAATCCTGCGCAGCTACGGTGACGCTTGTGGGCGTTGTCTCCTCCCTGGGGGTGTTGTCATGGCCGGCCATGTCCATCCCCTGTTCTAACACCGGAGGAAACCCTAGGCTCAGTTCGCCGGGCTAGTCAGCGGCGACGTCTCGACGCCGTTCCCTTCTTGGAGGCGCTGCCTAGGTGCTCAGGGTGCGTCCGGAGGAGCAGCTGGTGGGCTGCCTCGCTTGCCTCGGCAGTGAGTCTTGGGGTGTCAAGTTGTCATGTGTGGGTTGTCGCTATGGGCAGGTACATGCATGTAAAGCTTTGCTTTTAGACAAGAGCATGAACATTCTACGTGGAGTTTTTTTTCGTTCTTCTTCGACGACAATCATTAGGATGGGATCCCGGTTGGCAACCTGATATTAACATGGGATCCCGGTTGGCAACCTGAGATTAACATGGTGGACGTTGCTTATTTCTCTTGCCTCTTAGGCGTATTTGCTTCTTGTCTGTATTCAGACTCGTGCCTTCTTCCGTTGCACTGATTGATATAATGTTGGGCCATGTTGACCTCTATTTGGTGAAATATTTATGTATTGACATATGTATGCTCTATTGTATCTCGTATTCTTTTTTTAAGAGTAGTTGTATTTATTGTGATGTCCACCTTCTTACCAACATATGACACTTGCGTGTATGATATTCGTCATATATTGGGATGACCAATAAGCGCTTCTATCCATAGTGAAGATTGCAAAGTCTTTGTTGGGCTAGGACCACATGTTAACCGTTACATGTGGCTTCGGTGGCATGATGGCTGACATGGGAAGTGGCTATGGTGAGATAACATGGGTGGCATGAGAGGTGGCTACAGTGTACACATGGGTGGCATGGAGGTGCCTATGGTGGTAATGTGAGTGGCATGAGAGGTGGCTTCGGTGAAGATGGTGGCATAGATGGATCACAAGGCAATGTTCACAATGTGCCAAATGACAACGAGAAAGAAGACAATGAAGATCTTCAAGGCAATGTTCTTGAAGCCAATAAGGATTATCAAGCTAATGTTCACAACGAGCCAGGTGACAATGGAGAAGATGAAAATTGAGATGCCATGTTTATCTTTATGTTTATGTGCCCTTTTATTTGTGGGATAATGAACTATGTTTGCTATGATGCACTATGAGATCATAATTTTGCTATGTTAATTTGGAACTCTCTCCTATTCATATTACTCATCACTCAAACAAATGTATCTCATGTTTGTGATGATTTTGGTTTAAATATGCGCGGCTATAGTGTTGCTGTACGACTGGCCTATTTTTACATTATCTGTTGGAGCGGCTGTCGGGTGGCTGCCCTATTTTACATTACTAGCAATGCCTGTGCGGCGGCACACCGCGCCAGTTGATACCTTATGTGAGAAATTCTGTGTATGGTGATATTAAACTTTACCTGATAATTATTTGATTCATTATTCACCTTCTGTTTGTTCACTTTATTTTTATGTTATGGTGTATGTACAAAAATCATATTGGTACGAATGCTGAAATACTTCATACAGAAAAGCTTTATTGAACGAAAAGAGTTTGTACAATGTAGACACAGAGAATACATATTGATATTGCATGAAAAAAATTCAATTGTTGTATCCTTGTTCGACCACCCGCTGGATGTGTGTGCTGGTGATGAAATGATACAGAGCTCTGTTGATACTTTATGTTCAAACTATATACACTTGTGTGCTCGTGTGTCAGTTTTCTGACTATTTTATTGGTTGTTAGTTTGGACATCATTTCTTTAATCTGGCGTTTGAGAATCATTAATCTATAAAAGAAGATCAACCCGAAATTATCTGGAGTACATGTTCAAGGGCAATGATGTTGCTCTAGCACATAATAAATGATATGTATTATTAGGGAAAAAAACTTCTTACATTCAATCTCTGTCCAAACTAATACCATCCATGCATAACTCGTTGAATTCAGTTTGGAGTCATCTCTGTGGAATTCTGGATTATATTTCTGAAAGTATTACCTACAGTTCTAACTTGAAGCTTTTTAGGACATGGAAGTAGAAGGGAGAACCTGTACAAACAAAGCTTAATTTCCACCTGTTTTTCACACCATGAAACCAAATTTTCTCCTTAAATATGTGAAGCATCTAGCTAGTTCTGCATCTCTTCTATTATTCATGGTGAAGATGTTAGGTACCCACTCGCGAATTACTCCATTACAGGTATTTGAGTTCAGATACAAGGATTTGAGAGATGAGGAAGGAGGGAGGAGGAAGAACAGGAGGTAGGGGAAGGGAAGAGCCGCCGTTGCCTTTGCCTGATCCAAGCCCGGATGGCTGTTCGCTGTGCTTGGTCTGGATACTTGTAGTCTATCCTCCTTCGATTGGCATCCAGCCAGGCCCGGCCCATGAGCTGATGGGCTTGCTGCTTGGGCTGCTACTGGTGGAAATTGGGTCGCTGACAGAAGACATCAAAAAAGAAATCTACCTGAATGCCATGATAACATAACTACCTCTGATAGATCACATGATACAGACTTGTTCAAAACTGATTTCATGGACTGAATATAAACTATGTCCAAAGGTACCATCTTGACGAAGTGAAATTGTTTAAAAGTTATTGTTGGTTAGGAATGTAAATAATTGTATATAATAGTGATGATTCTGTTCCAGATCAAAAATAATAATAGGGTAAACCCAACATTTCGTGCACATTTCTGAGCAAAAAATCTCAGGTATGCACCGACTTTACATGTACTGGTGTCAACCTCTATGATCTCATCCTCGGCTCTTCTTGAGTAATTGGAGACGGACACATGGCTAGAATAAAAAAATACTGGAGCTTTTAAATGGGGAATAAAGGCTAATTACCGAAACAAATTTTCTGAAGGAACTCAAGCTGAGTATTGCATCAAATTTCCTGCGGACATTGCGACTTGGACCTGAAGCATTTCCCGTCCTTGGTATTAACGCTCAACTGGCAGGGAACTTGAGCACGCCAATTAAAATAAACACTGATGACCCACAATTGATCAACAAAGCCCCTTTCTTCACATGGAAAACGAACAAAGATTACAGGCAAGATCAAGAAGAAGCTAATAGTAATGTATCACACAAAGAAGGAAAATTACTTTTTGAGTTCTGATGAATGAATTTCGCAATTAAGAATAAACAAGATAGAGATGCACTGCCACTGATATAGAGCAAACAAACAGAATTATTCCGGATCGGTTAATTAGTTTATGCTCATTGGCTTACTGGTGAGGATATAAAGACTAATAAGGTGATGAGGAATTAATAGTCAGTTAATCATCATGGGGACACGTACACTATCTCACACAATCCATTTGAGATGTAAAAACACCTCAAATAATTAGTCGCTCTGCTTTCTTCCGCTTCACATCTCTACTATTCAAGTCCTACTATTGAGTATCGACTAATCCCAGTTTTGAAATGCCAACTCAATACCTGATGGGTATTGTGTCATGATTGAGAAACTAAAACAACCTTGCCTTATACTAACCTCCTGAATCAAGACCCAGTCTCGATCTTCCTGGCTTGCACTTAGTCTGCATGACCATGCTCATGTCCACTGCATCATATGGAAGGGGATCAACGTCAGCTGCTCCATGAACCATCGGACTCAAGAAGCAACAGCAATCCGAAAAATATCAATCAGTGCAAACATATTGTTGACTTGTACACTAGCTGCAGCAGAACACATATTATCAGTCAGGAAGCCGAACACAAAATAAAAAAACAATAGAGCAAACCTATAACATGTATACCTACATGATTAGAACTTTTCTTGTTTAGTAACCAAATTTCAGCAAGAGAATATATTGACATACTCATGCTTAGGAGTTTCCCAAATTTTGCAGTCTGGTGCACAACATTCAAGTTCTGAAACTTGCAACCTCTGGGCTGCCCTTTATATTGAAGAGGCAGTGATTTTACAGTGGTTATACACGGTTTATATAGTTAAGACTTTCTAGGCGTAAACATTACAATAATTTGAACACTGACTAAGCAAGATTGTAAATCATAGAAGTGAGTGGTCGGATAAGCTTGCATCCTGGTTGTTCCTTCTTTGCCTTCTCTGTTTTGCTCTGTTCTGAAAATTCTGAATTTTGAACATTTGCAAGCTTCTGAATCGAACTTCTTGCAGGTAGCTTCATGTTTCAGGCATCAGGTCAGACTTGGGGTTAGGCTGGTCATCAAATTTGATGCAAACACATCTGGCAACACACAAGCCTAGAACGAAGCACCCACACACGCACAAAGGTACACATCATCACACATGCTGCAGCGGCAGCACGCGACCCGCGCACACACGTGACGCAGCAGGAGGCCCCCCAAAGGCAGAAGCACGCGACGCAGCGTGGGCGACAGGGCAGTCGACGTAGAGAGAAGAAGAGGCAGCCATCGCGTAATCGTCATCCTGCAGTTGACGCCGAGGCGGAGGGGCAAGGAGCAGGGGCGCCTCGGCATGTCGGCTATGAAGAATTTCTCGCTTCCAATGCTTCCATGCAGCATAAACGCGCTGAACATTCCGCATAGGAGTAAGTGGAACTGATCAACAACCAAAAATGTAAATCAACAGTAAAGTTCACAATAATCAAGGAAGGGAAAGAAAAAATAGGACTGGAAGGAAGGGAGCCATACCGACGACCGGAGTCTACAACATGTGCTTGGATGTGTAGACGCACCGCCAGATAACGACCTCGTCTGAGCCCTTCTTGCGCCGCTGCTTGACGTGGATAGTCTGGCCATCGAAGAACGCATCGACCATCCTGGGAGGTCCGTGATACACGGAAGAACAACCGTGGAAATAGGCACGGGAAGCAATGACTCACATAAGTACGATCAAGGGGTACATCGATATATGGCCACGACGACGGTTCCAGCCGGTCGTTGGCTCGCCAAGCCAGGATGTGGGGCGCGCTCGATCCGAAATCACCACATCTCGGGAGTACGGGACAACCGCCCAGCCCGTCTTTCACGTGCTGGTCGAGGGCCGCCGCCGCCCGGATGCGTAAGACGGCTTGAGGCTGGACATGGCGTTGAGGCTAGGAGGCCGTGTCGTGGAAGAGCCGCCTCCCTGTCCACATGGTTTCCAGCCGTGACCTCCTCTATCAATAAGAGCCTCACTCTTTCTCTTGCTGCGCCTACCAGCCCTCTCATCGCCGCCGCCAAGCACCGCGCAAAACGGATGCACAACGCCGGAAGAGGAAGCGCCATCCGAGGGAGAACCACCTCCAATGTGGTCGCGCTCGCCGGGCAAGAAGTGGAACGAACCTGCGGAGGTGGAGAATTGGGGTAGATGGAGAGGCAACGAGAGGGGGGGCTGTAGGGATGGTCTTGATGGCGGGAGAAGAGCTTTTTATAGATACATACATATGGCGGTGGAAATCTTACGGGAGCCTTCAAGAGGGCTCGGTCCAGAGCGGCAAGGCGGTGGTCAATCACATCGGAAAGAGAGAGCAGTGGCGGTGGAGGGGTCAGCTGCAGGGATAGAGATGTGCGTGGGGTCTTCAAGAAGAAAACTGTCAAACCAGGAAACACGTAATCAAATCAAACGCACGCAGCATGTATCTAGGACGCTGCAAAAGGAATGTGGCACGTATCGTACCCCACAGATCCCGAACTGATGCACGTGTTAGCACTCCATTAGTTGATTTTGGCCGTGAGAAAAAAATCAAAAAAAAACCCTTAGAAATCGATAGGGGCACCCAAGAACACACACAACTAGATCTTACACGTTAACGAAATTTACAACGGAGGCCTACAGTCACACATGATTTCCACCACCCAACATCCCAAACTAATGCACGTGTCCATACTCCATAGACCCCCAACCCCAATCAAACAAGTGGTGAAACGTGGTGGCGTAAACTTCCCCGGATATAGGGGCTTGGGTATTGGTTGGAGTTGAACGTTTCTAGTGATGTAAAAATCATTTTTTGGATGATGTATATTTTATTTTAATCACTTTTTAGTGATGTAAAAGACATTGAGATGCTCTAATGAGGATTGGCACTAAAGAAAACCCAACATGTATATTTTTTCTTCTTTCATTTCGGCAAGGGCACTCCTCCAACCTGTCCCAGGCCTATTAACCAAGGACTGGGATCAGGTGACATGCGCTACGGTGATATGCACGGTGACATGCGGCCTAAATTCATATTTAAATATTCATGATTTTTAGGGTTATCTTACTATGTGCTGTGAATATGCATGATTTTTTTCAAAAAAAATCGCAATGTTTAAATTTGAATTCAGGCCGCATGTCACCGTAGCGTATGTCACCTGATCCCAGTCCAACCAAACAACCCAGCAGCCGCCGCCGCCGCTCGCCGAAGCACTGCCTCCGACGAATCCCCACCTCCGCCGTCATCCTGCTGCTATACAATCCCGCCTCCACATGCCCTCCAGCCACGGCTGTATCATTCCCGGTTCGTCACCGCATCTGACGACGAAGGCCGAGCGAATCCCCACCTCCACGCCATCCTCCGTCTCCTCGTGGTTCGCGGAGCTGGATTACTGAGCCTACTACTCTCTTTCGGGTTAGTTATGTTCTTCGGTCTCTCCGATTCGATTCAGTCCTGCAGAGGAGAACCAGCAGTGCTCGGAGTTCTTTGGGCAACCGGATCGATTCAAAGTCTGAACCTTTTTTGGGAGTGGCGTAATCGGAGCCGGATTTCCGTCACAGAATCAGCTCGCAGCAGAGGAGGGGAGACCACCCATAAGTACGCCCAAGAGCCTGCCTGGCCGTGCTCTCCGCGTGGCCCATCCAGGATTGCAACCTTCCAACAAGCATTTGTTGTTCTAAAAGAGCCAATTTGTTATCTCCAATGGGTGGTACCTGTAGCGTATCCAAGATTTCGAGTCTAGCCATCCACAGGAGGAATCTGCGTTCTCTGGTCTTCATCAGAGTGCCTAAGCTGCTAGGTCTTCTTCCTTCCGGTTGTCCGACGAAATTCCTCAAAGAAGATATCCATGGACCACCGATGGAGGTTGCAGTTGTCGAATTACCAGTGCTGCCACAAGATGTCCTGATGTCCATATTTGCACACCTGGAGATCCCTGACCTGATGCGTGCCAGCTCGGTCTCCTCCTCGTGGCGCTCCGCGTATTCCAGCCTACGCAACCTTGAGCAGTACCAGCAGCGCCAGACGCCGTGCCTCTTATACACATCTGAATCTGCTGGTGAAAGAGTTGCGTGCCTCTACAGCCTCTTGGAGAAGAGGTCATACAAGTTGACTCTCCCGGAGCCACCTATTCGCAGCAGGTATCTGATTGGGTCATCAAATGGCTGGCTGGTTACTGCTGATGAGAGATCCGAGATGCATATATTCTCAATCCCATCACATGTGAACAGATCGCTCTCCCGTCGGTGATCACCATCGCGCACGTGACTCCTGTTTTTGATGAAACAGGTGCCTTATGTAAGTGCATTTACTCTCATGACACAGCGGAGCACCGTAGTACCACCGGCCCTCAACTCGTTGATCTTGGCGAGCTGCGACACTACCTCCAGAAAAAAGGCATTTGTATTTTATGATGCATCTGCAGGAGGCTATATCGTGGTGCTTATTCACAATCCAGATGGGCAGCTCTCATTTGCTTGGTTAGGGGATGACAAATGGACCTGGCTGAAACCACATTGTTTTTTTCAAGACTGCTTGTACAAAGACGGTAAGTTATATGTAGTGACATTGCTAGGAGAAATTCATGTCTTCGATCTCAGAGGCCCTGTGGTCACAACAAAGGTAATTAGAGGTTGCGCAGATAATTACAGTTGTCGAACAATTTACATTGTTCAGGCTCCATGTGGGGATCTTATGCAAGTTTTTAGATCCCAAGATGTGGTTGATTATGATCCACGTGCTGACAATGCAACACATGTGCACTATACTGACAGGATAAAAATATTTAAAGTTGAGACTATGGCTGAAAAAGTTATGGAAATAAATAGCTTGATGGATCATGTGTTGCTGGTTGGGCTGAACCAATCACTTTGTCTCAGTGCTGAAGAATTTCCACAGTTGAAGGCAAACACCGTCTACATTGCTGACGACCACGAGTATCTAAACTATTACAAGAATAACCGTCGTGACATTGCAGCTTTTGACTTGACATATAACAGTAGTGAGGAACTTGTCTCCCCTCAGCTTTGGTCCAACTGGCCTACTCCCATATGGATAACCCCCAGTCTTACAAAACCGCATCTAACATTGGACAGACAATGAGTTTTCTTCATGTCCAGATAATATAATTGTATAGCAGATATAATGAAAATGTTTTGTATGGAAGGAAAAGAGAATAAGTTATGATCATTATTTTGAGGAAATTACAGTTGGCAAGAGTCGGGGGTTTAAAAGCCAGCTGTAAGCTCTGCATCAAATAGTGCATATTCCTTTGTTGCTTAAGATTGGCTGCATGGAGAAGATAAATGCGACATGTATTATAGTCTTATAGATAAGCTACATGTTACGGACAGGTATTGGGGGCAACACTATAGCCGCAGGCCCAGGCCTGTAACACAGTCCGTAACCACAATACCAACAGGTGGGCCTTAGGCAGGCACATGGCTAATCCTTGGCGGCCAAGAAGTCCAAGTTTATCCTTAGAAAATATATTTCTATTAGAAAGTTGTCTTTACTTTCCAAACGGTTAGGATCTGGTTTGCTTTCCAAGTTTTGTGATATCTCTGATCTATATAAAGAGAGGATAGTCTGTATTAGGATAATCAATGAATAAATAAAGAAAATTGCCCCAAACTGAGAGTTCAGAGCCTCCAGCGCCACGGCAGGGGATGAGCCCCTACGTGCGCCTAAGGGCGAACCTCACTATCCCCTCCGATCAGATCCCAATTCCCACCTCCAACTCCACGCACGTAACATCTTGGTATCAGAGAGGACTTTCCTCGACCACCCACCACCAATAGCCACCATGGGCGAACCCATCACCACCGAAAACCTAGAATCAATGTTGTCCAATTTTTTTCCCCTTTTCTGCCTGACCTCAAAGCACTACCTGAGTTGCGGTCTGATGTCGCAGCATTGAAGGAACAACTAGCGGCTGCTAGGGTGTCCATTGACCTTCTGGAGAAGGGAGGATCCAACAAGGCACATAGCAAAGATGAAGATGAGATTGACAACACAGCTGTTGGTGCTGCACTGGCTGCACCGTTGCCCTACAGGGAGGAACGGCGTGCTGCTCCAAAGTTCCACAAGTTGGAATTCCCTACCTATAACGGGGAGGGCGACCCGTTGCCTTGGTTGAACCGTGTCGAGCGCTTCTTCAAGGGCCACCAGACGGAGGACAAGGAAAAGGTGTGGATGGCCTCCTATCACCTAACCGATGATGCTGCACTATGGTACAGCTGTTTGGAGATGATGCATGGCCCATGGCCAAAGTTTGCCAAATAGCTGCACCGCAGTTTTGGGCCGACGATCAGGACTAGTCGGCTGGCGGAAATTAAACACTTGAAACAAACAGGCTCTGTACGCGACTACAAGAAGCAATTCCTAACTCTTGTTTGCAGGTGCGAGTCTCTCTCAGAAGAGCAACAGGTCGAGTTGTTCATTGCTGGGCTACGCAAGCCTATCCGTACTGATGTGGACTTACAGTACCCATCGAACCTTGAGGATGCCATGAGCTTAGCACTCTCCTATGAGCAGCGTTGTCTTACAGATGATAAGGACACAACCACACCACTCCCGGGCACGATGTTGTCGTCCAAAGCAACCAAGGCAACAACAACGGTGGCTGTTTCCCTACCCAAAC